TTTCAAAATCTGAAATCAATCGTCTCAAAGTTTATAYGGAGAAAATGCATGCAAAATTTCAAATTCAACAACTTATTAGAGCTGAAACATAGCTGTGGAATTAGAAATAAAAATATGTTCATCTGATAATAAAGTAATGTGACTTAATAAGCACTTGGTAAATCAGGGATGGACCCAGAATTTTTTTTCAAACGGTGGCATCATTTGACCATAAGAAAAAAAATATTGGGAAAACTTTCAAATGATGGCAAAATTTGACTATAAGAAACAAGTATATGGAATTTTTTTCAAACGGTGACACCATTTGACTAAGAAATGACACTAACATGATTCGAACTTGGATGTGAGATGGAATAAAAGGCTTGCAAACTAACTCTACCAAATAAAACTTGTTCTCATTGTATTTCAAAATACATACAGTGACACACAACAAATTAATACGATTACACCGTTCACGAAACTTAATTTTTTTTACCCTTCAACAAAGAAATAATAATACGATATCACGTGTCACCTATACCATAAAGCTTGGGTGTGAAGATGGTTATTATTTTATTTAATATAAATATATTTAATTAGGACATTGCTATATTGATGTGTATTATAAAATAAAAATACATAATTAAGAAACAATAATAGGGTGAGGGTGTGTGTACCAGAAACAGAAAGGATGTAGATTTGAATGGTCAAATGAAAGTGAGTTGGTTTGAATGGTCAAATAGAAGTACCAATTCGTAAAAGGGCAAAACAGACAATTGTACTACTGTTCTTTAACTTCTACAAGCATTCATGTTGCAGCTTTCTCAATTTTACCATTATTAATTTTGTTGTTTATTCAACRACGCATTCTAAATGCATTTTTTTAATGTCTCTTAGGTAATTTTTTTATACAAATAAAATATAAGCTATAGAAAATTATAAATCAATGTAAATTATATTTATGAAAATAATAAAAATTTACGATGATTTAAATGTTTATAAAAAACAATTAAAACATTATTTTCATCATAATATCCATTATGATTATGTATTATAGTTTTAACTCTATATATAGATTTTTAATCGGTCTCGACGGGTTCTCAACTCGTCTAGATAAAAGTYAAAAGTGGTAGCTTATGGTTTTACATATACAATTGCATAATAAATCAATCGATTGGTTCTCTGTTAGTCTCGATGRAAAATGGAGTTGGTAGGTTATAGTTTTATGAATACTAACACACACTAAATCAATGGAYGAGTTCACGTGAGACCAACTTGTTTTCATTAGACCCGTGAGACCAYATTTTTACACTTGAAACTTCACARCAAAACATTGTGAAGGTAAAAAATAATTGAACCTTCACAGTGTTTTCTGATTGAACCAGTTTCAATCATATAATAATGAATTAAACAATAAGAACAACAATCTAGAGATTAAATTATCATGTATATTGATAAACTCTCTTAATACATGTTTCTATCTCTACAATCTCTCTCTAAGCTAGATTCTCAATGTGCGTATCTATCTTTAAAAATCCTCCGGAACAGTGAATTAGGCTCAAAACACATNTCTCTACAATCTCTCTCTAAGCTAGATTCTCAATGTGCGTATCTATCTTTAAAAATCCTCCGGAACAGTGAATTAGGCTCAAAACACATMGAACGATATTAAACGTTAGTAAAAACATGAAGACACGTCGATAAAAACCGTGYTTTTGTAATTATTTTTTGTYTATATTGTATGGTGCCACMATATAATAAAATTATTAGGTTCATCCCTCCGCATGGTCATCCGTCATGCGGTCACCACTTACTAGTACAAACGTATGCAATAAAAAATTGACAGTTTTTCATCTTTACTGTACTGTCCAACAATCAAATTTCAAAGAATCCAAAATCYGGACATCTACAATGTGCCCATACGGGTACAAATAGAAATCTTTTGTCTAACCTTTATACAATCTCTGTATACTTAAAAAAAACAGTAATACTCTCTCCAATCTACAAAAAACTCCGTGTATATTTTGAGAGATTTTTATACTCAAATACTCGCCCAATTTGATAAAATAAATCACTTGTTCTTCATTAATATTGATTATTAAGTATTGATCCATTAAAACTTTGCCAAAATAAAAAGCATGTATTTGAATACTGCACAATTGGGTTTGTGCTATTTTCAAAGAACACCATATACCAGATTAATGTGTTTCAAGGTAGGTTCAGGAAAAGTGGAATAGCGAAGTTGAAGCACTCTACATCAACATGTTTGATTCTCCATGCCCTCAAACTTTTATATTATTGTATTGTATGATTTCATGTGAACCGGAAAACTTAACTTGTGCCAAGCAACATATGCCCCCTCCAAAGGTGCACCAACAAAAACGATGGACGGAAACTTATACTTTAGGGGTTGTAGATATTTCTCKACTTTATTTTGAACGACAAAATCGTATCAAGATAGTACCATTACTCTAATTCATAGAGACCAGGGTAGAAAATTTCATAACGAAATCCAATTTGGAGTATATCTTCATCCTTATAGCATAATGAGGGTTCTAAAAGGTACACCATGGTGCAAGATGTGCATTTGGCATCATGTTAACCCCCGTAGTGGTTGGGTAAGACGAGACGCACGTCATGGTGTCGTGAGCCACGTTATGGTCAAGCCCTCTCCCCTCCAAGGGMCAGACGAGTCATCCACTTGAAAAGATCCTCCTAGTAACAAGCAGTGCATCCTTCAGTGAGTTTTCTTGAGGTGTTATTTGATTTTATTTGACTTTTCAGTTATATTTATAAAAAAAAAATCAAGTCTTCTTATTACTTTCAACCTTATTATGATCCCCTCCCTAGTGCTAAGTTCAATACCATGCCTCTTCTTGTTACTTTCAACCTTGATATGAACCCCTCCCTATTGCTAAATTGTTCAACACCATGCCTYTGTTGGTCCCTCTAATCACCATACCTTTTTTTACATGACCTATATAAGTCAAATTAAAGCATTTTTCTACTTTTAAGAAAGTGGGCATCAGGGCCAGCTTATGAACACCGACTAATTCCTCAGTTGACCATGAATAATTTGTAGTGATCGTAGATGAATCTCCGTGGCTACAAGGGTTTGGCCAACTCCTAGATTTGAACCTAGAACCTTTAACTAATGYGCTTTCGTAAATATATATTTTTCCTTGGAATAAATATTGTTGTTGCATACTGATATTTAGTTTTCTAATCTTTAGAATTTTTGTMTCTCTCTTTCTAATTGTATTACTAATGTTTACTCACTTCTAGCTTTTCACTAGTCGGAAGTCTTCACAGAAACAAACATTCTACTATCARTCTTTGGGGTAGAAGTCAGGTATCCATACATCTTACCCGACCAGACGCCACCTCCAGATTGGATATACTGGAATCTTCAAGAGAGTGGCCCTTTTTAGGAGGGGACATCCTAGTGAATGATATATTGCTTCCTGTCAACATYAGGCTTGATTTGTTTTTCCAACCCATTCATAGGATAGATCTCTCAAATTGGGATGGAGGGTGGCTCAAGCTACTTGCATAGGTTTGGGTCCATGAACCCATGCTTGGGTACTTTGTGGTGTTCATCACCACATCACATGTCTTCATTCTTCCTCACAACACTCAAACTCTCCGTGGACTTGCATATTATAGTTAGCAGCATCACTAGCAACACCATATATCAAAACACAGTATAATTTATGTTATTAACGCTTAAAAAACCAAATCGTAGTCAATACTGTGATTTGAAACAACGGTGATATAACAAGGTCCAAAAATATAGATATTTAGAATTATATACATGATATATATATATATATATATATATCATAACATGTAAATAACTTAAACATATTATGTGTAATCAACAAAAATATATAATTTCAACATCAAAACATCCACTTAAACAAGTTTGTTTCACACAAACAAAATAGAAAAGGGTGAAGATGGTATTTAGAACCTGAATTCTTATAATCGTTTACAGGTGAGGTGAATATGGTAAATGGTTGGATTAAATGATTTAAATCATTAAAATAAAACCAGTCCAGGTTCAATATAAGCCGATTACACCAAAAAGAGCCCAACCACAAATAGTAGTTATGCGGCCCGCTATTTTGTGTCAAACATCAGCCATTTAGCGGAAAATAGCACCCCAATTCGATCCAGGACCACGAACCAYGCGATTAACAGCATATCAAATGATATCTGTACTTATGTTTCTATGTGTTATGTATGCACACTAATGGAAGTTTACAACAGTAAGAATTGACTCATTTTTTATAGATACAATGCTACGTCTACACTTACTGTTGTTGATCATGCCACAGCTGTGTTCAGTCAAAAGATTAACAAATATCATGGTGGGAAACTTGAAAAGTGAGAGAAAAACTCCGATCAGTAGATAAGCACATAATATATCAAGACCAAAATAAAAGGGATAAAATAAGATCAAACTGTACTGTGAATAAGAAAAAGGGACCATTGCATACTAAAGGGTAACAAATATTGAAAAGTCAAGCCGGTGGAACGAAGATTCATAATAATACATTCATTTTCTCTAAAAAGTGTTATACTCAYTGTAAGATTACCTGATCCAGAAAATCAATCAGAACCATCAGGAAACGGTTGCAGTGCATCTTGCTTCCCATTGAAATAGAACTCAACGACTGCTTTCATTCGTGGTAATTTATCTGGATGATAATTGACATGAACAATCACAGGCTTTAATTTCTTCAAGTTAGCATCTTTCCTTACTTCCTTAAAAAGAACCTTGCTATTCATAAAAAGATAACGATCCATGGTTCTCTTGGAAGCATGAAGACCAATATAACCGGGATGAGAAGGAAAGAACAGTTCCTCATTGAAAACTGCTTGGTCCCAAGCAGGTGGTGGCCGAGAGAGCCTGGCAGCCACACGATCCAATAATTCAATGGCAGGCAAAGTAGGTCGTAAATAGAAAAACCCAGAATTGTAAACCCATATTCGCATTGTATGAGCATATCTAGCCCAACCCATACCAGGTTCATCGAAGACATCGTTATATCCATACGCAGTCATATTATCATGCCCATCAGACATAGACTCCACATCTGAATCCCTATATATATGATCGAAAGGGTTCTGTATGTATACGATATCAACATCAGACAAAAGAACACCGTAACCCAACTGCAGAAACTCCCTAAGGATTCTAAACTTTAATCCTGAGACAGCATGATTACCACCTGTTTTAGCAACTGAATCAATACCCTCATCTGGATCTCTCGTGTAGAATGATACGTCATTTTCTTTGCAAAAATCTACAATCCCATCATCTAGAGCCACAACRAGATAATTAGGAATACCTGCTTTCTTTATGCTAGCGACCCAAACCTCCAACATAGCTTTCACATTAGAATTTGCAAGTGCAACTATAAGCTCCTTCTTGACTGCAATTTTTTCCAAGATTTTGGAGAGTCTTGGGTTAACAGTGTCATCTGGAACGACAGTAGGATTAGTTCTTATACCCTTAACAGTACCAAAAGGCCCAGCTTTTTGTGGCTCGCCTACCACCACAACTTGCTGCTCAGCTTGACCATTTTTCTGTTCAGCTGCCTGCAACTTTTCAGTTAAATCCCTGACTTGTTTCTTTAGATTGTCATTGCTGTTCGATAAATCTGCAATGTCTGATTTCATCATGTTAACTCGCTCTGTGGATTCACATGAAGTTGATCCAATCTGAAACAAAAAAAGGAAGAACTTTTACATATGAAGGGGACTTTGAAATCAGTATTGATTTTCACTTCAGGACATAATGAAGTCAGATTTTTCCATAAATATAYACAAAGGGTTCAAGGAACACCTTAAGCAAATGAAGCATATGATCAGATAATTAAACTAAACCACATTGATTTAGTAATTACCAGGGAAATCCGTATATTGATAAAGGGTTCATAAGGGGGTAAAACAAAAAMAATATACGAAATGTCATATTTCTTTCTCATGTTCGACTTTCAGCAGGARCTTACAGGTCAATAGATGTTCAAATTAACAACTGTTGAGTAAGTATTAAGCAAGTTCTTAATGTAATAGTTGAAAAGGGGATAAATAAAGAAAATGTCAAATTTCTTTCATATTAATTAACAACTTAATTTGAGTAAGAAAGAAGCAAGTCCTCAAAGTCTAATAGTTAATTAGGGAAACGAAAAACAATGTCAAATTTCTTTTCTTATGTTTGGCTTTCAGATAAGGACGATATTTACAGATTTTCACATTAATCTACCGAACTGAAATGTCTCCTGTCATGTAAACTATAACATYTAAAAGCAGGTAAATCTATAATCGTGGAGTCGGTTTTTATAATAGTAACGACAATGATATGTCATCGTTCTAAAATCTAAGGAAACTTCCTWAGAATGCTTGATTTCGAAATAAACAAAACTCTGAAATCAAGTCAACTAAGTTCCATGCCTGGCTAAAATATCAAAAAACACCCATTAAAAGCTTCATTAGATCAACTTTAACTTAAATTGAACAAACACTTGAGTAACACACAATTCAGGAAGCTTAAACCTTTCCATGTTTGAAGATTAAACTAACTAATACTGAATTTCCTTGCATAAACGTCATCGGTGCTCCTCTCTACCCAACTTACCAACCGTAATGCCACCCTACCCGAATGGCTAATGCCTTTATTTTGAAACACAAGAAAGCTACGTTTTAATTCTTGATGTAAACCAAAAACTTTCCTTCTGAAAACAAAACATAAATTGTGTTGTATATCCAAATGTTATTCTATTTGTAATACTCTCCAGTWAGAAATTTCTCAAAAATTTTAAGATCCAGATTAGTTTTACATCAGAATAGGAACATGATCGACAGAAATTGGGTACAAGAAGTTCTCGATTACATAATTTCAACCCATTCACGCAAATCAAGAGAAACGCATGATCCAATAATAAAAAGTCAACACTAATTTTGCACAAAAAAAGTCAAYAATGCTTCTACTCAACAAATTATAATCCTAAGAAACCCCATAAAGCAAGCAGAAGAAACATCGAATATGAAGGCTATCTCATATAACAATAAAATGCGAGTGACAGTGAGTGTGAGTTCACGAAATTGAACCTGGAGATTCGATTTGGAAACACGGCGACTCTGAAAATGAGAAGCCGAATTGGAAGAGTCGGAGAAGAGACCATAAGGGTATAAAACCGCGAAGACACATCCGAGCAKAATTCCAATGAGAATTGCAACAGCAATTCGAGATCCACGCATTGATTGTGATGCGTTGGTGACTCTACGACCCACAGGACCCGCCATTGTTCACAGAGTCGGATCTGTGGAGACTTTTGGCTCTCCCAATCTCACCCAATACAGCATACGATGTGGAAGGTTTTCACTAACGAGTGAACGATCGTGGAGGAATTCAGAAACCCTAAAAATGGTGGTTGATTTCAGAAAAGTAGAGARGGATTCGGTGCAGAGTAGATGCAGCTTGTAAGCCAAGACGTGGTTGACTGACTGTTTCTGTTTATGCCTTTCGTCTTAATTCAATTTCTATTGTCCATATCAACTTAGTATTTCAGCTCAGTATTTTTGTTCATTTTAATGGATAGAGTGACGCTGTGGGAAAACCATTTATAACTATTTTTCCATCTAAATACACTATTTAATGTATTTATTAACATATATTTGTTTTATAATATTTTATTTTTTATGTATTCGGTTCATAATGTGAAACTTTTTTACATGTATTTTTTGTTTCACAAATACATAAAGTATGTTCACATTGTGAAGTGGGTATTTGTGAAACAAATATATGTTCAATATTTTAAATCATACTCTTAGATGGAAAAAAATCATATAAAATAACACATGATGCATAAGTTTTCAAAGTTATGACAATTTCACCTGTAACATCCCAAAATTTCCAATACTACAATATAACAGAACTAGTATCCCAAGATCAAACACTTACATTGCAGCGGAAATAAAATTTCTAATCTTACAATTTATATCACTATCTAAACTTACAATCTTGACGAACATACTTTGCTCGATATAACAATGCCTTGATCTGCATATGTCATTCTTTGATGCTAATCYTTATTTATCTCTTTATCCAACTTTTCTTTCCAGTCTAATAGCCGCCTGGGTGAAAAAGTTTAAAAGAGTTTTGGGTGAGCCTTAGGCCCAGTGAATCCACGGTTTTCATACATGAACAACAACTTTTATGATAAACAATTTTCACGAAGCTTCATAAATTAGCATGCCTTGATGAGAATAACACTTTTCAAAAAAATAACGATATTATAGTGCGTGTCTACATCACAAAGCAACGAYGTCATGGGAGATGTCTACCTYACACATCATTACCTGGCGAACTCACACARCATGTCCGCACTTACGGCTTAGACAAGCTCACAAAGCATGCTCGTCTTTACAAAATCATACCGTAGTACATCCCCATTGACATACAAGTTCAAAACACAYATTATAAAAATATCCCACTTTTCACGCATATATAACGTATCAAAAATCTCGAGAAGCTTCAAACAACTTGTGGATAATATGAAATAAGGCATGCAAYCATTTTAAAAATAAATCACGTGTAACTCACAATACATGGCGTAGCCCAAACCGATCTTTGAAGTGGCTAGCGTCTCCCCGATTGGTGCCAAACTAACTACGATGTAGAGCACCGTCAACTCTCATTACAGCGTCTACCGTCGCATTTTCTCACAATAGTTCTCCTTCTTAACCCCAAACTACACATAAAGCTACAAACTCCCAAAAACGCATCAAACTTGTTGTGCTTCACCAAATCATCCTCATCTTTCTCCTCTCTTATACGAGTTTCCTTTCCCGAGAATTTGTCATCTCTATACTTGAAGACCTCCCCATATATATATACTAAGTCATCGGCGGTTTCACGGAATATGAAACGATAAGCCATAATAAATGGTCGTAGGTTTCATGACCATTGAGTTTCTCGTCATTAAATTGCATTCAATTTATTTATTTATTTATTTATTATTATTATTTTTTTTGGGTTATTACAAACTTTCCCCCTTAACAAAATTTTGTCCTCGAAATTTGCCCTATACGAATAAATGAGGACATATCAATCTCGTCCCCTTATCAAGTTCCCAAGTAGCCTCCGAACCATTATGACGTCTTCATTGAACATTCACGAGAGAAATCTCTTTGCTTCTTAGTTTTTTTWATCATCTTTTCTTAACATTCTTAATAATTACGACTTTCTTTTTGCCTACTGAACACTTTCTTAAATTAGATATATTGTGCCATAAATTTCACCATACCAACTATTTTATTGTCTAACATATGTTCATCTTTTTGGGAATAACTTATTGATTTCCCAATAATCTTCTATCCATCGCTAATTTGAGCATTATTTTCTAATGAACGATGGACTACCTTCGATCCATCCATCCGTCTCTTTTATTTTCGATGTTAGTTCGACAAACCGGCTGACATTTATCACATAACTCTTCGAGTTGCTCTACT